CAGATGTACAGCAGACTGCCAATGCTTTCAAAGGCAAGTACCTGTTTTGGGGCAAGAAATGCCCTGCAACCCTAATTCTCTGCCCAGACCAGGAAACGAGACTGTTCTGAGAGCTCTGAAAAGTTTGTAATTCAGTCCTTGGTCTCTCGCATTGCAGGTGATGCCAGTCCTGCGGCAGATGGATGACACTGCATGTATTTGCTATGCAAGATGACTTAATAAATGAAGTTGTCAAGGCACTTCTCCATGCCCTCAAAATTAACACACAATGCATGTCCCTGAACTAGGTCTTCATGTGCCACAGACAGTACTTCACAGGGGCTCCAATAGCATTCTTTTTGCATCACCTCTTCTAAAATGTGACTCTGCTGGCATGCCACAAGCATCACGGCACAGCTAACAAGGGACAGCTTCCACATCTCTCAATGGAGACTGGAAACCAGGGGAACTTCTCACCCCTTTCCCTGTTTTTTGGCAAAGAACAACTAAAAAATCTACAGTGCCTCTCTGTAATCTCCCTTCTGCTACTCATTTATTACTACTACTTAACTGTGCTTGAGTTGGTGTCTTGGCATTTATCCAGCCATCCATCCATCACTGTGCATTCTTCATCAGGATGGACAGCAATACTGCTTCATAGACTTCTTGCTTTGTTCAACATTTATTCTCTTTCCCACTTCCAAACAGGTAAGCGAAAATGACACCGACTGATAGTACAATTCAGAACTTTCTCCAGAAATGTCCATGCCTGATGGCCTTCAACCATACATACAGGGTCATACTTGGCTTGCTTGGTGCAGCTTGATGCCTACAACACCTACCTGTTTATCATAGTCTTCACAATACTTACCCACATTAGAAATGGTATGGTATGGGTAATGGCTTTAAACTAGAAAAGGGTAGATTTAGGTTGAATATTAGGAAGTTCTTCAATATGAGGGTGGTATATCACTGGAACAGGTTGCCCAGAGAGGTGGTGGAGGCCCCATCCCTGGAGGCATTCAAGGTCAGGCTTGATGGGGCTCTGAGCAACCTGATCTGGTAACATTGTCCCTGTTCACTGCAGGGGGGTTGGACTGGATGATCTTTAAAGGTCCCTTCCAACACAACACATTCTGTGATCCTATGACTAGGAGAGCAAGAACCGCTGTTACTCCCATTTAACAGACAAGCAGCCAAATTAAAATAAGACCACTTGCAAAGATACTTCAGGCCTCCATCTTCCCCATTTTATTGCAAGGTGCTCTTCAACAGACTACTAAGTAAAAACACGGTGTTAATAAATAGTATTTTATGTGGAATTAGAAGATGGGCACCTAGCCCATGTTTGTGTCCCTGGTACCTGCAGATCTACTCTTCTCAAACACACAGGGCAGTACCATAAGCACACACCATGTATGTCCCCTCTCACTCAGTATGCTAAACCTGGACAAATTGAAAGAAAAAAGAACAAGGACATACGTGTTTGGGGACCTGGTACCTAAGAAAAAACAGAAATGGTCACAACTGTGGCCTGCCCATCAGGTCAGAACAGCTGAAATTAGAAAGGAGGCAAGTAGGCACTAAAGCAAGGTGCTAGGTTAGATTTTAAATGCAGCACCACAAAGTTCTGCTTCATCCATGAATATCCTCAGTTTGCCACTTTCAATTACATTTCACAGAGGAAGGAGTGAAAATTATTCTGGCTTTTAAAACAAGCCATGCACATTTTCTGAAGGTTTTTTTGGTCTTTTTTTTCCTCGATGTATCTGCACTTTGCCACTTAACATCAAGTATCTTTCCTAGAAAAACGCACCCACATTTGACAAGTGAATGTTTGAAAATGGCACAGCCAGCTGCAGTAGAATTCTAGTTTTAGAGAGAAATTTGTTGGGAATTGCATGCCCAAAATTGTATTTAACAGCTACTTAAATAATCCCCTAAGCTTTCCTGAGCAACTTACTACAGTGAAGGGGAAAAAGGCTGATGCGATGGTGAACTGCAGTATTCTGCACAAGAACACAGGACTGGAAACCAATCACAAGGGTGTTCTGGTTTTTGTCCCCTTCCTAAACGTCAGTTCACCAAACAATATTTACTCCCAGCACATGAACAGACACGGAAGAAACGCGACGGTCATATTGTAATAATCTTTCCCACTATATATTCCAATACTAAGTGATGGCGCTATTTCACAAGCACCGTTTTTCTGCTCAGAAACTCAAAGATACCACAACAAAGTATTTTTTGAACAGAGTCTTCTCCAGACCAATCCATTTCAGAAGCAGAATACTTGTAGGTATTTTTTTTATTCCCAAAAGGAACAGGCACTTGCTACAATGACCTTGCAAGCGAAGCTGCACTCTTCCCAACTGGACTTCTTTGACAGTGGACCAGGGCTACTTCCATGTGCTTTGACTCAAATTCAGGAAGTCAAGAACATCGGTCTCCAGGAAAATATGCAGCCGTCAGTATTTGAGATAAGAAAACCTATTACTATGGCCTACATAAAGCATCAGGATTTAAGTTTACGTGTCACTTTCCTTTTGTGTCTTTTAACAGCTATTTTGCACCAAAAGAAATTTCACATCCAGTTCCTTTAATATATTTAAAAGGGGGGGAGGGATAGGTAATCATTTGCACACACACCTAAGAGAAAGTTAAAAAGCTGGTTTATTTGAAACTGTGAATTCAAAGTCCAATAAATAAAATGCTTAACATCACCACTGGACACTACGTAGGAAAACTCTGCTGAGACTGGATTGTTCCCTTGGTGCTCCAAGCATGGATGAACTCCAGAATGATCTCCCAGATCCGCACTCCAATCCATGCCGTTACCTCAAGAACCATCTTTAAGCCTTCCCCAGGCGCACGCTGACAAATCCCTCCCTGCTGGGGTGTCGCCGGTAGCAGCAGAACCACCCCAGAGCCGACAGGGCTCACAGCACCAAGGTTTTAAAAGTGAGAAATCAGTGCCTAGATTTCAGAACTTCTATAGAGCATCCCTCTTCCTCCTCTCTGAGTCCTTTGACCTGGCTCATGAACTCTGCTATCTTTTTTTAATTATTATTTTTTAATGGGTTGTTATTAGGCCGCAAGAACACACTACTGCTTACTCACTGTCACTCTTTGGGGTGGGGCATGCAGCTGACCCCATAAACGGTGCTTATGTTTGTTCAACACTGCTATTAAATAACGAGGTTTTGCCAAATAGCAGACTCAGTGTTTAAGTTAACTGTATGTTACATATATATTAAAATTCTCTGAAGCGATCAATATGAAAATATCAAGATTTCATCCAAAATAGAATTCAAAACAGCTTATAGAATTTGATGGACAGTCACCAAATTCTGCTAAAAAGTCATACCCTTATAGAAATGGCACAAAACCCAATTCTGTATCTACTTTAAAAACTACTGTACAGGGCAAGAGTATGCTTACTACCTCAAAAAAAAAAAAAAAAGAAATCAAGTTGGGCACGTCACCCTTTACTTGTAACACTGGCACAAGTGAACTGACAGAAAAGCCTGCTCTTTCTTTTTCTTCTGTGAAAGGTGGGGAGAGGGGCATGAAGAGGAAGAATAAAAAATAAAGCACATTACAGGTTATCACATAAGTGGCTATTAACAAATACTGGAGGCACTGCTTTACAAGCCAGGTGAAACCAACCATATCCAGAAAGAAAGGACAGAACCAAACAAGCGTGGCCACCAGTACTGGTTTGTTCTTTGACCGACGTGAGCGTTCCGTAGTCTCAAATAGGGATGCTAGTTCATATTGAACAAGACAGTCTATTTAGGTTTTATACCATTCTTACGGTCTCCATAGGACAATAAAGAATGATCACTACCTGAGTACTGAAGGTCCTCAACACCTTAAAGTCTTGATGGTACCAATTCATCCCGTCTCAGTATGTACCATTTTCGACTCAAAGGACTTCAAGCCACATTGACGTATCCAATTTGCTGGGGAAAAGGCACTGCTCAGTTACTAACTCATGCAATAACAATTGAAAACAATCAGATTTTTCACCAAACTTTGGGGATATTTGGGTAGAGCTTTTACAGAAAAGTGACGCACACAGCAGTCGTACACTCTGCAAACCAAAGCAACCTGACGCTCTCCAAAGCGGCTTTGCTTCCTGGAAAAGAAAAGCAAGCAAACACCGCTGCCAAGCTTTGAGCAGCAGGTATTTAAACAGCCGGACTTCAACACCAACAAGAGTAAAACACTTCCAGGTATCAAGATCTATTTAACAGATAACAACACAACCATTTCCAGTCAGTTCATGGTAACGCTTCAACAGGCACCCGTACGCCCCTCAATTCCCACCACGTTCATAGCAGTTGGATGATACCAGGCACCAGACTTAGCTGGCACATGAATTTTGACTGAGGGACAAAATAAAAAAAAAAAGACTGCCACGTATTTTATTGCTACCACTGCACTGGGGATTTGAAGGAGCAATGGATGTAAAGGCGACAATCACTTCTTCAGCAGATAAAACAAAAACAGGTTAAAAAAAATTAGGACTTCAAAACACAAACAGTCAAATAGATGTTTTCCACGTAGTTTACCTCAGTATTTTAACCAACATTATACATTTTATTGTTTAGAAAAGATGACGCCATTGCAGAAAAATAAAATAAAATTTGTTTTTTAACAGGACGTTTTACACGGTGGTATAAAAAGTGTAATGAGAGCCTGGAGGGGAAGAGAGGGAAACGGGGGGAAAAAACCAAATAAAAAAAATAAAAAACAAAAAAAACCAAACCGAAAACACTACTCCAGAAAAAGTAAAAAGCTAAATTGATTCCCAGATGTGTAAGTCTGAAGGTTTCAGCTTTTTCAAATACACAACTATGTGTGCCTTCCACAACAACGCTCACAACCGAACGAGACTTCTTGTACTACTGCACCCTTCACAGGCCAGTCTGCAAGTTGAAAAGAATAACACAATAACCTGCTAAATTGGTAAGTATGCAATTAGGGACTGCTTTTAGCTGTTATAAAAAGCTTGTTTACATATCTAATGGTTCATCACTAATATTCAAGCTGTGCTTAACATTTTTTAGTTCAGACATACTGAAACCCAGCAGCACAGACGGTTTGTGATTATTTATCGCATTTAAGCATATATTCCTCCTTTTTCCGAAGAACGATGCAACATCGATTTTCCACGCATACAGCAGCATGGAAAGTAATTCCATCTCTTTTTTAGAAGGGTACGGCCTCTCGTGAAAGTAGTCTGTCAAAAACTGCTTTTGAGCCTCATACGAATTGTAATCGTACTGTTTGGGATCTACTGCCAGAATGCGAAGATCCTCACTAGAAAGGAGCTTCTTCACCTCAGTCCTAATCCTCTGTCGTTTGAAAGGCACTACCCCTGAATTCGCTTCTCTTTCTGGAGACAGAGCTATGCCAGCACTGAAGCCCAGAGCCTGTAGATCCTTATTCCTTTGGTCTTCCGCAAGAAAGAAGGAATCCGGTTGCTTTCTTTTCAGGATCACAGAAACGTGCTTTTCACCATTCAAGAACAGCAGCTCCTTCTTCTCAGAACGCTCAAGCTGCATCTTCACGCTCGAGTTGCTGTCTTTGGGAGCACTTCGACAACGGAGCAGATGCACCGCGATAGCTGTCAGAGTCATATTTCCAGTGTACACGCCACAACAGTGGATGCACTTGAAAGCGGGAGACTTCAAAATTGTATGTACAGTTGGCATGATGTGATGCCGCTCTTTCAAATGCACTTCATAGGTTTCCTTACTAACAAACGTACCAAAGCAGAAGGGACAGGTTAACACTTTCTTGTTGCATCTGTTGCTCACTTCTGCCGTCTGAGGTTTCACTTTGATGTAAACAGGTACCAGTGTCCTTGAATTTAGTCCAGCAAGCACCGCCAAATGCACTTCTTTTTCACCAATGTCTTCTTTTGGTAACACTGTGCTGAAATCAAAGTGTGGAAACACAAGGTCACCCTGAGCATCATTACCGAGTTGAAATCCTCTGTTACTATAATCTGCATGTAACTCCTTTTTCCCATCGTGCGTAGTTTTATTGTGCTCCACGAGGCTTTTTAAGTCATGGAAAGTAACTGTGCAAAACAAGCAAGCTAAGCCATGCATCAAGAGATGTTTCATGAGCTCTTCCTCACAGAGAAAACATTTACAAGAGAAACACCGGACTGTCTTTTCCGTCATCCACCTTAGAAAGGGTGCACAAGCGGCAAGCTTGTCAGGCTGCGGGGTTTCCTCCTTTTTCACTTCACCATGTTTGTGGGCCACCGCCATGTGCACGTGGTAGACATTTGATGGGAAAAGCTCATTGCAAACAGGGCAAGTCTTCCACTGCTTGGCCTGCCTGACGGCCTGGCTTGTCTCAGGGCCAGGTGCGGAGGGCTGTAACGACAGATTCTGAGATGTTAAAACCACTGGAGGAGAGGGGGCATTCGCCAGAGGCTGGGACAGCTGAGTTACTGTCCCAGGCGGCATGAGTTGGATGGGCACTTGTGGTGGTGCAACAGTTGCCACTGCGCCACCAGGAGGTACAGGCAAAGTAACCGAAACTGGGGCAAGCGTGTAGGTAGGTATCCCATTAACCTGTTTCCCAGTCGGAATCAACTGCCTCAGTATAGACCCTGCAGTCAGAAAGGCTGCGTTTTGAGAAACCGCAGGTTGGATTGGCTGATTCACGGGGATAACCGCTGGGGCAACAGGCTGATTGATCTGCAGAAAGCCAGGTCCGCTGGGCTGCCTGACAGGGACGACCCCAGAGGCAACAGGCTGGTTAAGCTGGAGAACCCCTGACCCAACTGTCTGCGCCACAGGAAGGACGCCGGGACCGAGGGGTCTACTCACGTTCCCAAGGGACTGGTTGACAGAGAGGACTCCTGGTGCAACCGGTCGACTCCCAGGGCTGACAGGCTGAGTAACAGGCAGCGCTCCAGCTGCAACCGGACCACTGATGGTACCAATGGGTGGATTGATAGGAAAGAGCCCAGGCCCAACAGGTTGATTAAGAGGAAGAACCGCAGGGGCCACAGGTCTGTTTGGGGTCCCCACAGAATGATTTAGAGGAATAGGTGGGTTAAGGGGGAGCCCATGGGAAACAATGATGGGCTGAGAAGGTGACGGCTGAATATTAACGTTATTCTGAGCTACAGGAAGATTACTAGACACGAGTGTAACATGCGGTGGGGTAACAACTGGAGCAGAAGTGGTATGTGGAAGGCTACCAGAGGCACTTGGAACAGCCAGTGACCTGACTGCGTTTTGAACAGCTTTTGGCTGCACCACAGTCTGGTTTTGATTATTCTGTGGAAATGCAAGCTGGATGCAAGCCGGAGCTGTGACAGAACCTGCTGGGGCAGAGGCAGGGCCTGCAGATGGAGCAGCCACTGCCACGCCTTGGGGAGGCTTTGGAGCAATATGCATATGTTTCACGAGTCCTGGTTTCTGAATATGTTCCGAAATCACAGACCGAAGCTTGTTCTCTAGGTCTCTGTGTGTTTCAGCCGTCAAGACATGATACATTAGAGAATCCTGGCTGTTTGCAGAAGCATTACATTTTTTACAGTAATACTCAATAGAATTCTCTTTACTTTCATCAGATTTCTGGCCAAAATATGTACTTATTAAATTTTGAAAATGGTTCATCAGCACATGTTTCTTCATATTGTAATACAATGTGTCTGTAAAGTGACATTTTAGACATGTAAAGTTTATGATGTCACTCCTGAATTGTTTCATGCCATCCAAAATGCTGACTGTATAGTTCTGTATTCTTTTATTAGATGAATGAAACATCCGGATATGTTTTCCCACTATTTTGGGGTCAGAAGCAAATGCACACTTTGGGCAAGGAACCACCAGCTCTTGGTCCATTTCATCCTCATGGTAGCGGTGCAAGTGATTCTTGAATGAAGTAAGCAATTTTGACGAGAACTTGCATAAGCTACAGCAGTACGGCTTTGTTCTGTATCTCTGCAAACAAAGCAAAAACATCCACTTAGAAACTGCCAGTTCTTAAATCCCCATCATGTTTGAAAGTAAGTCTGTGCTATCACCTGTCAGAAATGCCTTCACTGGATATATAGCAAGTATCTTCAGTTTCATAGAGATCTGGTTTTGAAAAGCAGATTTAAATTGACATACTTAAAGGGTGAAACATGTGTGCCACTTTTGCTTCCTTATAATTCAGTAAAACGCCTCAAGTGAATTCATTTATACTCCCACAAGAAGAAATTCTGCAGCCCATTTTTAAAGAGGGAAATCACAGAAGAATTCGTATGCCACTGTACATGGGAGGTGAAGCCTTAGCAATTACGAATAGCAGCCCTTCTAATATGACACTTCTAAAGCTTTATTTAGTTCAAGGCCATGTCCTATTTACTGGAGAAAAAGAGAGAAGAGGTGGAGGGCTCTTTGTGTATTTCAATATCCTACCTTCACTGAAAGCTCTCCAAAAGCACCTCTCCCAGCAAAGCCACAAAAAATGAATTTGCTAAGGATGTTCTTTTGGACCCAGATAATTAACAGAGAGGAATAAAACCCCCTTTTATGACAAAGCAGCAATGACCTCTTCCTACTATCTCAACATACTGGACATCACGCCACAGTAATTTCTTTACGAAATTTCCTCTAGCACACTCAGAGCATATAGATTGTTCTCAGAAAAATATTTTAACTGCATAAAAATAAACCTATCTTCCACTAAGCAGTGGTTTTCTCCCTCAATTACACGTCACTTGACAACATTACTTTTTTAATTCATATGAACATTATTTGCTCTTTCTGAAAAACTGGTGGCCCTGTCAACCTTTTTTTCCTATCAGCTTCCTAGGGAGTTAACCCTGGCTCCTGCCAGAAACTACAGAATCAGTCACAGCAACATTCAGGTGACAAATCTGCAGTCTCAAACATGTAGTGGAACTTGTCTGTTCCCTCAGATGTCTTTTTCACCTTACTGACCTCTGCCTCTTATGAAACACCATGCAAAGGGAACAAGCAGCTGTTCCACCACTACAGCACCCAACCGAGCCAGATCACTCACACACACGTCACAGACAGGAACTGGAGCAAAAACTGGTGCAGTTGTTTGTCATTTCATACAGCCATGAAGGTGTCATCTCTTACCAGTACTAAAGGAGCCACCTGGTGATAAGGAAAATCTAGCCTCCAAATACAAAAGAATGGGTCAGATAAAGCCACTGGCTGGCCTAGGGCTGCTGAAGAGTACCCTGTGAAGGTTATCAGTGAATTATCCTCTACTTACACTCTCTGGCTGTCTGCTCTCCGCTGCTAGTAAACAGCACCACGGCAAATCAGAAGCATCTTCAATCTTACTTTTAAAGTGTACTGAGTAAAGACATCACTGAACATACAAAGCATTATTAAAAGCTGCATCTTCCTAGCATTACTTATAACGAATTCAGGTGACAGAGGTGACTGTTTCAGTTGGTTGTCTGAGGCTTAGAAAAGCTTATATGCTTTTAAATACTGGGCCTATACAATCTTTACTCCCACTCCTGCTTCTGGTTTGGGTCTTTCTGTCCCCATAAATTTACACCGCAGTGTAATACACTGTCAGCATTTCCTTGCTGCCAAATCTGTACAATTGTTGTTAGGTACAGTGAGAACACTCTACAAGTAGTCGAAGTGCTGAATTAATTTACTATTCCATAGCAACTATGATTTTACTTCTCATACAAACAATCACTGCAGTATAGCAGTAAGAAACCACTCCAGTACCTGCACACTGTTAAGCGTAGCAGAAATAATGTTCCCTACCTTCTTAGATAATTTGATGGAGGTAACAATTATGAGACTCCAGCAAAAGTGAAGACAAGCTCTGTACCTCAAGTTCTATCCAATTAGGATGAATCCTGCAGATCTGCTACTTAGCTCAGCAAAAACCCCCAAGAACAAAAATCCCCAAAAAATTCTGTTTCAGCAGAATAGAAGCATGTGGAAATCTGCTACTTTCATTTTTTAATGTGAAACAGTGCTCTTCTACACAGACATCTTGGAAAATAATTTCACTGGCATGTTCTCCTTGTATGCACATCTCAGCTGTTTATGATGTTAGAAGTGCTACTACTGCCTACTGATGGCAGCTCAGTTTTACAGAAAATTAGACAAAGTAATATTTCTAAGCCACTTAGGAAAAATGAGGTGTCTCAGAGACTGACCAACACAACCCTGAGCTGTGCAAATGGAATCCAAAAAGGCTTATTAGAGGCATTTAGGAAAACCTGGTCAGTCCCATGCCAAAGAGCATACCCCAGAACATCAAAACCCTTGCCACTGTGTAGTCTCACATTCCCTACAACCTAGAGGCAAGCAGAAAGACAACAGCCTCCAAAAACCAAAGTCCTTCCAAAATACTGAAGTCTCCCTAAAAACAGTACTAATGCAAGAAACCACCAACTATCTAAACAGACAACTTCTCCAGCCTACTGAGTTTCCAGTATAGCTCAGACAACTTAATTTCCTCTCACGGCAGCAACTTTGGAAAAGAACATCCTGAAGGACCAACTTCTTTTCTTCCAAATCTAGGCAGTGCAGAGGTGAATGATATGTATCACTGTTGTTTTAAGAAAATGGAGAGGAACAAGTTTAGCATCCAAAAGACATAGCTTGGCAGATATGTTCCACAGCAACCCATTACAAACCCTACACTGAAGTTCATCACAGCAGGTTTGGCAAAGACCGAGAGCTTTGTTTGGTCAGGCTGTACGTTGAGGACTTAGTTAAAAAATGCGACTATTGCACTTGGCAGCCTCAGCTTATTTTAAAGATGGCAAAGGCAGATTAAAAAATCCTGGGAAATTACCACCACAGTTTTAATCCATAACCTTTTGATTCAGGATGAAAAGAGCAGACCCACCACTGTTTACATGCTGTTGACAGCCTTTCCTCACGAAAGCAATTGGGAGCCCTAAGACTTTCCAGTGAGACTGAGAAAAGACCATCTTTTCTTCTGGATATACTCCTGTGCTCTACACAGTATCTTAGAAACTTGCTAGACTATTAAATTATAGAAATCCTTCAGTTTGTTCATCTCAACCCTGCCTTTCTTGTAGATTCTAGCTTTGCACAAGATTCCAACTACATAGAACTAAAACCCATTTCACATACACAAATCTAACCGGAATATGATTTCCACTGCAATCCTATCCCAAGCCACTAACAACAATTTCAGTTTAATCCACTCACATCTATGCAATCACATCTTCCAACAAAACAAGAAGCATGCTGTATAAAAGAGCACATTAAGACTATGCATCAAATTAGACTAAAAAGGCTGAACATTAATGCAACACGTTGAGTACTGATGTTCAAGGTTGTATTCTTGAAGACAGGGAGCGGCATGTATAGTCCTTACAACCAGCTGCATTACAGAGAGGAAATGAAAGATTATTTCCTGACTAATAGTACTTAGATGTTAAAGGTATTTATTTTACCATTAAAAAGGTGCATTTTAACTTTTCCAAGACTTCTGAAAGCAATAAAAACCAGGAACTCCACATGTATACCTACCCAGAATTTCTAAAAAATATACCTACCTTCCTTTTGCCCACAGACTCCCAAGGAGAGACATCACTCCATGAAGTGTTACAAAAGTATTTTTCACCTGGGTCAAAACTTTTAAGATTCTAAAAGAAAAGAGAAAACAGGAAATAATCTGCTTTTGCAATCTGATCTGAATACAAAAATAGTCTCAATACAGAGCAAGGAAAAGATAAATCCACACCATCAAAGGATGAAAGTCCAAATACTGTATTTGGATACAGGCCTCAAAATTCAGTTCAAAGAAATTACTACTTTGACCCCTTTGATTTATTTTACCTCAAATACTTGTTCATATGACTGCCTTGCAATAATACAGCAGTAATTCTTAACACCTCACAGTTACTGAGAATATAGGAGTGAAAATATTTACACTTTAATTCCACTGCTTCTAGCCAAGTTCATGGTGAACACTGAAAGACATTTTCTCCCTCTACCTTCCTCTTCCTAAATCTGTAATAGTTCACTATTTACTTCGATTTATTAACCTACCACTATGGTTTACTTTGCAACAGGTTTTAGTATTAAATCTTCATAGCACTGCTAAGCTTTTAACTTGGAAAAATGAAGACATTCCCAGAAGCTTATTTTTAAAAGTAACAATATTTTTCCTCAAGCTGTAAAAGCAACAGTATTGTGGTATCTCGAACAAGCGTGACAGGGTAAACAACTTTCCTTATAGCACTGTTTTCATCAATCCCATCAGAGCTGTTCATGTTCCTCAAGCCAAAGTCAGCTACTATTCTAAAAATCTGAAGGTCCTCTCTAATTTTCTGAGGCCTGCCCATATCCAAACACAAACTTAATGAAAAAAAACCTAGATTCCTGTGTGGTAAAAAAAACAATGCAATATTTATGTGAAATTTACAAACAACACAGGATATACTGAGCAACAGTATGAAGTATGAGCAACTGAAGAAACAATGCCTCGAGCACTCAAATACATAACCATACTTAATGCAGGCCCTGTTCACACAAGGCTCCTGTCACTGCACAAACATGAGCATCCTGTGTGTACAACAGATTACAGCGAGCCAGAAGGGGATACTAGTGAGAATTCGATTTAAATTTAATTTTTCAAGAATTTATAAAAATGTAGCTAAGTTTGCCACAGGCTTTATGGCTTTTTCAACCTTTAAGTTTCCCCAAGGAGAATCCCAAAGAGCTCAGGGCAACAATAAACTCCTTGCATTCTAATCAACACCTAGGCACTGAATGAATCAGCTATTTGTCCTTCAGCCAAACCTTTAAAAAAAAACCAACACCTTAGAAGGAATCCTGGCATGCAATGAGAGAAATCCCACTGCATTAGAGGTCATGATGCTTTTCTAACATGTTTCATAGAGAAAACAAAATTTAAAAAAAAAAAAAATCAAGATTTACTAACAATTCTTCAGCTGAACACACTGTTGAAGTTTTCCTAAAGTTTATAGCCTACCCCCAACTTGTTCTGCTTTTGGTTTGAGTACTCTCCACCAAGAGAGGCTCCTAGACCTGACCACCAGACTCTCACAAGCCAAATGCATGTGAAGGTGAGTCAAGATCGTTTTGCTGAAACGGCTGTTTCCTACAGAGAAATATTCACTGATAAAGACAGACAACCATTTTTATTACTACAATTAGTCAGTGCTGCAAATGGCTATTCTGAACTCTTGCTTTAAACAGAAATCTACGTTGAATCCCAGAAACAAGCTTTGATAGGCTAACTTGTCATGTCCTTCCCACATTTCTCACTTTGAGGAAGGGAGAAAAACAGGAGAAGGGAAAAGTGACAAGAAAATAAAAAACCCTCTGAGAAGCCTCAATCTTGATTCATAGTAAGTATTTCTAAGTTTAAGAGAAGGATATTTTAAAACTAAAAACTGTTCTGCTCTCTGTACTGAAACCATCAGTTTTCCAGATAAAATGCTCAGAGTTTAAATGAAGACTCAGAGACCACAGTACGTTAAAGTTAAAACAGGTTACTAAAGGAAAGCCTCTGACATTACACTGTACATAAAAGCACTACTTTGACAACCAAACCAGTCACCTAACACAAAAGGCTCATGCTTTCTTCCTAGCAGAGATCAAATAAACACATTTAGCCTAAAAACTAATCCACTTGTTCTCCAAGCTACAAAGAGATACTAGTTGTACATGAAATTCCTTCACCTTCCTCACGAATTACTGTCCATTATCATGCCTTACTAGAACAGTTCAAGACCAATTTTAAGACCAGATAGTAGGTCAAGTTTGTACCACATCACTTCATACCATTCCCTAAATTGTCATTGTGAGGAGGCTGGACAATGTCCAGAAATCAGTCCTAATATCTGAGGGGAAAAAAAAAACCCCAAAACCAACTCACAACAAACTTTAACTACTTCTCACCTATTAAGACGTCACACACCCTATCCTACTAAAAAGAAATACCATCATCATACAAGCCAGGTACAAATCAAGTTCTAAAAATTTTTCTTCTTGCTGCTAAAGTTATACCAAAACCACAGCAGATTACCTGGAAAAAAACAAACTGAAGTTATGAGTTTGGTCAAGACAGAATTATTTGCAAAACTAAAAAAAAGGTAATTTTGGCCCACATCTCACAGAGTTTTTTCCAGGATGGAAGTGTTCACTGGGCTCCCCACCACCGCTTATTAAAAATGAAACTAAACCAAACACCACCACCACCCTGAAAACACCAACCAAACACAAAACACCTTATTCATCATGCACCATTAAACCCCATACTGCAATCAAAAAGTCCAGATAGCAATCAATTCACAGCAAAAAAACCTAGCATCAT